CACCCAGTGACCCCGCTCCTCCACCCAGTGACCCCCCGCTCCCCCACCCAGTGACCCCCACTCCTCCACCCAGTGACCCCCGCTCCTCCACCAGTGACCCCCCGCTCCCCCACCCAGCAGTGACCCCCGCTCCTCCCGCAGTGACCCCCGCTCCCCACAGTGACCCCCCGCTCCCCCACCCAGTGACCCCCGCTCCTCCACCCAGTGACCCCCGCTCCCCCACCCAGTGACCCCCCACTCCCCACCCAGTGACCCCCGCTCCTCCACCCAGTGACCCCGCTCCCCCACCCAGTGACCCCCGCTCCCCCACCCAGTGACCCCATCACCCAGTGACCCCCGCTCCCCACCAGTGACCCCGCGCTCCCACACCACCCAGTGACCCCGCTCCCCCCCACCCAGTGACCCCCGCTCCCCCACCCAGCCCTCCCCCACCCAGTGACCCCCGCTCCCCCACCCAGTGACCCCCGCTCCCCCACCCAGTGACCAACTCGGTAGACCGGATACTATAGTAGCTCCCACAGTTCTTTGCAACCACAATTCTGTCATGTTAAAATTAAGATAATTATAAACACACACACACACACACACACACACACACACACACACACACGTAGCTAAGATAAAGCCCATAAAACATGTTCTCATTATTACAGTTGTTACAAACTCCATCCCTCATCTCCACAACAAGCCACACCATTTCCTTTTCATATTATCTCCATTTAATAATCATCTACTGTACGTCCTCCCTCATTATTATCTCCCTATTATGATTTCTCTCCGTTTATCGACCTTTCACCCCTACCGTTCCGTTTATCTGAGTCGTTAATTTCAGTTTTCCTCCATCAATCATCACCGTAAATCAACGCTCTTCAAAGGGCCGCTAGATGTAGTCTTTCACGGTAGGGAGTCAAAGCCAACCAGGCACCATGTTGTTACTCAGCGGGTGGGAAATCTTCTCGGGCTCTCTTCCACCTAGTTTATAAACATGCTTATCCATATTTAAACATGTATGATAATTTTACTGAATTTTTAACACCATCATCCTTCTCCTCTACAGTAAGAGTGCAAACTTCTTCATCAGCTGGGTAACAATATGGCGCCCGCATGTCACCGAGTTGACCGAACTCTCTCCTTATCTGCGGCTCTGCGGGGAATAACAAATACTTTCTTTTAAAATGTAAATACTCGATAAATCAGCATGAACAGCGTGGCAATGTTAGCTTTATATTATATTTACATAATTACATCACCCACCATCATCCAACATCACCCAGCAACTAGCATCACCCAAGATACTCTAACATCACCCAGAATCATCTAACTTCACCCAATATCACTCATCCTCTAACATCACCGAGCATTATCCAACATCACCCAACATCCACTAACATCACCCAGCAACTAGCATCACCCAAGATACTCTAACATCACCCAGAATCATCTAACTTCACCCAATATCACCCACCCTCTAACATCACCCAGCATCCTCTAACATCACTCAGCATCATCATTCATCACCCAACATCCACTAACATCACTCAGCATCATCCAACATCACCCACCATCATCCAACTTCACCTAACGTCGTCAAACATCACCCAGCATCTTATACTTCTATACTTTTATCCTCCTCACCACTGATCAGCTCGTTAACCGCTTGGGCGATCGGTCACGTCTCTGTCACGCACTGTTGGCAAGTACTGGGCATGCACCGGCTCCTGAATGTACCTGAACCCGCTCCAGTGTTGGTCAAGTCTGGTCTTGAATGAGCTCACACTCGGTGCCGTCACAACACTCTCTGTCAGATTGTTCCAAGAGTTCACAACTCTCACTCCGAAAAAGTTTGCCTTCACAGTGTGGCTTCAACCTTGAGCCGTGACCCCTCTGGGATGTTCATAAACTTCAATTAGGCCACTCCTTGTCCATCTGTGGTATAAGCTAGGCAGTTGCAGGCGTTCTAATCTTTCTAGATGACTGAGGTGCCGTAGTTCAGTCACCAACCAGTCTAGTCGCCCTCCATTGGACATTATCAATCAACGACAGTCTCGAGTATAATCTCTGGGACCAGACGGGAAAGTACCTCACTCTTGAAGGTCCGAGAACAACAGATTGTCAACACCCACACCAAGGTCATTTTCACATTCGGTCTCTATTATTGCAGTTTCTTCGTCCCGTTGGTTCAAGACCAGACTTGACCAACAATGGAGCAGGTTCAGATACATTCAGGAGCCGGTGCATGCCCAGTACTTGCCAACAGTGCGTAACAGAGATCTGACCGATCGCCCAAGCGGTTAACGAGCCGATCAGTGGTGAGTAGGATAAAAGTAAAAGTAAGTTGGGACATGATACGGCCTCCTTACTGTTGGTACGACCTACTTAGGTGCATCCTCGTACACTTCGTGACGTTGAATTTTAGCAGCCATCGAACATCACCCAACTTCTTATAACATCACCTGGCTCTTAACAGAAAATATCTCTACTCACGGAGTCATGGACTAGAATAATTCAGTGGTCCCCAACCATTTGTTGGCTCTGTGCTACACTGATCATTATAAATATAGTGGAGGGCGCCAAAACTTTGGATCTACATTCAACTTTTACTTTTACTTTTACTTTTATCCTCTTCGCCACTGATCGGCTTGTTAGCCGCTTGGGCGATCGGTCACGTCTCTTTTCATTTATATTCTTCACCAAAAGATCGGCTCGCTGGCCGCCCGGGCGATCGGTCACGTCTCTGTCACGCACTGTTGGCAAATACTGGGCATGCACCGGCTCCTGAATGTACCTGAACCCGCTC